AGACCATTTAAATACAGAAGAAAAACATAAATTAACTAATTTGTTAAAAAGATTCCAAGCTATCCAATATCGTGAAGGCGATAAACTTCCTTTAACCAATCAGGAAAAACATACTATTAATACTACACACAACGCCCCCATCTATTCAAAATTGTATAGCTGCCCACAGACCTACGAAAGGGAAGTGGAGCAGCAAATTCATATGTTAGAGCAAGGAATTATACGAGAAAGTAACTCACCATATTGTAGCCCCATTAGGGTTGAATCTAAAAAGTTAGATGCTTCTGCCCAGAAGAAATCACGGTAAACGACAGATACCCTATACCAAACATGGATGAAATATTAGGCAAACTAGGTAAATGTAATTATTTCACGACAATAGATCTTGCTAAAGGCTTCTACCAAATATAAATGGACAAATACCATCGCCACATTTCAACGTTGTATGAACAACTTACTTCGTCCGCTGCTAAACAAAAATTGCTTGGTGTACTTAGACATCATAGTTTTTTCCACCTCTCTAGAAAATCATTTACAATCCTTGCAGGCAGTTTTCGAAAAACTATCACAAGCAAACTTAAAGCTACAGTTGGATAAATGCGAATTTTTAAAACAGGAAACAACCTTTTTAGGGCACGTCATTACTAAAGATGGAATTAAACCAAACCCCGAAAAAATAAAAGCCATAGTAAAATATCCATTACCAAACAAGCCCAAAGAAATCAAAGCTTTCTTAGGACTCACAGGCTGTTATAGAAAATTCATACCCAACTTTGCCGACATTGCTAAACCCTAGATTGTTAGACTAGATGTTTGAAAAAAGGAGCCAAAGTAGACACTAAACAAAAAGATTACAAAAGTTGAAATTATTAATCTCAGAAGACCCAGTTTTAAAAATACCAAACTTTGAAAGAAATTTCATATTAACCACAGACGCGAGCAATGTAGCTTTGGGAGCCGTTCTCACAAAATGACACCCTGTCAGTTACATCAGTTACTTTAAACGAGCATGAAGTGAACTACAGCGCCATAGAAAAGGAATTGTTAGCTATAGTCTGGGCAACTAAAACCTTTCGACATTATTTATTAAGGCGACACTTTGAAGTAGCATCCGATCACCAACCATTGTGTTGGCTGCACAAATTAAAAGAACATAATGCAAAATTAATGAGGTGGAAAATTAGACTTTCAGAATATGACTTTGATATAAAATACATTAAAGGAAAAGAATAGCAATAGAACAGACATTTTTCGCGCAGAAGAAGATAGTAGCAATTTAATATGTTTGTCGGAGAAACCCATCAATTGCCATAAACGACAAGTTATCTTTTTCAAAGGTCCTACTAACACAAAATATGAGACTTATTTCAAAAAACAAATCATACACATCTCCTATCAAGATATGACCATAGAAACAGCCAAAAAATATTTACTTGATTATTTTTGTTCTAAAAACATTGCTCTATACATAGACAGTGATGCAGATTTCGAAATATAAATATATAGGCTCAACTCTTTAATACCCTGTACCACCCCACAAAAAAAAAAAAATTAAGTTTAATTAATTAATGCATCGGTGCATCGAGAAAAATGAACAAACTCGTCCTTTCTCGGGCTCAGGAGAATCTGTATACCAAGTTTGGTTATTCTAGCTTTTATACTTTCTGAGATCCTTGCGTTCATACAGACAGACGGACAGACCGACGGACAGACGGCCATGGCTATATCGACTCAGCTTGTCATGCTGATCAAGAATATATATACTTTGTGGGGTCTGCCACGCCTCCTTCTGAGTGTTACATACATTCGCACAAAACTGGTATAACCTTATCCTACAGGTTCCTGGTTAATCATAATACTTTTCCTTACCTGTTTGAAATTATAACATCATCAATAACATCGATACTGACCATGGATACCTCCTATTTTCCGACAAACCAATAAAAATCCCGTCAGAATACGAACATCATTGTCATTGATATAGACAACCTAGTCCATTATTTCAACACTAAAGTAACTAACTACACTAATATCCCACAAATTCAACTCTTACATAACAAAACTTAATGGTATAACCATACACCAGACAAATATACAGAAACGAGGACTGATTAATATAGTAGGATCCGCGTTTAAATATCTATTTGGAACGTTAGATGATAACGACCGAATGAAAATCCAAAACGAACTACAATCAGTAGCAACGAGTTCAATTAGCTTACATGAAATAGACGACGTGATTCAATTGATCAATAATAATATGCAACAAATTAAAATTAATAATATGCATTGAAGATAAACATAGTAACAGCGAACAGCTATTATACGAACTGATCCAATTTACCGAATACATAGAAGATATTGCAATGGGAATGCAATTTTCTCGATTGGGACTATTCAATCCAAAATTACTTAATTACGACAAGTTAGAAAACGTAGACAGTAGTAACAACCAACCAAAAAACAACCAAAACATCAACCTGGATTAGCACTAATCAAATACTTATCATATCACACATCCCTATTAAACAAAAAACTGTTCAAACCATTAATATAATACTTTACCCGGATAGTAAAGGTTATTAGCTTGATTATTTAGAAAAAGACACTTATTTTGAAGAACAAAACAAAATTTATAACCAAGATTTCAAAGAAATAAACGATGAATGTATTAAGAATATTATAAAAAGAACTAACCCGATATGTAATTTCGCCCCTACAACAGTCAAACAAATAATTAAATATGTAGAGCCAAACAACATCCTAACCTGGAATATAAATGATACCATTATAAGTCAAGATTGCCAAGAAATAAATAAAAATATAACGATTAAAGGCAACAAAATAATAACAATAAAACAATGTAAAGTCAAAATAGGAACGATAGTGTTGAGTGAAAACCATATAAATCCCGAAATTAATCTCACTCCATTGTATACTCCATAAGAATTAATAAAATAAAACCAATAGAACATAAAGACATTGTAAAATTAATATGTATTAATCATAAGTCTTACAACTTGTATTGTTTGCATATATTTAAAAGTTAATACTACAACAAGATAGGACGCTACAGTCGAGCAAGCCCGACAGTAAAATAGCCTGTACTCTCCACAAAAAAGAAAAATTAAAAAAATATATATAAAAAATTAAATTATTAAAAAAAAAATTTAATTAATTTATTAAATTAATTAAGAAAATTTATGTAATACATACATAGAAGACATGTTTATGTACAGTTTTACATTTACATCACGTGTCTATGCGTGTTTATATGCGTGTATGTATGTAGCACAAAGTTCAACCAAAGCAGCAACAACAACAACAGCTGCGGGCAGCGCTGCAAGCAGAGCATGGGCAGCGATTTTATTTATGGCTATAACTTTCTTCAGAATTGACCTATCATGATGAAACTTGGCACGCGGACACATTATCACTAACTGGATGTAACTACCAAAAAAATTGTTTTCAAAATTCCAAGAATTTATAAAAAACAAGTAAAAAAGCTAATGTCGGGTGTCCCGACTTTGAAATACTCTGTACATATGTTTAGAATAATTATAGAAATTAAAAAAAAAGAGCATTAAAAAAAATTTTCGATAGATTTTACTTCTTTTGGTATTAGTACTCACATAAAGGGTGTATAATTGCACACATAAAAAGCAATTGCGTCTATGTGAGTGTATGTATGTTTATGCTCGTATATTCGTGTCTGTGTAAGCATGTTCGCAGTCAACCAAAGCACCATCATAAACAACAGCCGCGGGCAGCGCTGCAGCAGCATATATATTTATGGCTATAACTTCTTGTTAAATCGGTCTATCATAGTGAAACTTTGCATACGGACACATAATAACTAACTGGGGGTATTTGCCGTTCGAAATTCCAAGAATTACGGGATTGATTTTTTCAACAATAAAATATATATGTACTAGCAGGTATTGCCCGCCTTAGCCCGGTTCAGGCCCGCCCGTTGTATTTATTTTGTGTGTGTGCATAGGTCATGCCCCATATATTTACACCTTATTAATTACCAGTAGGAAGGCATTTTAGGTATTTAAAATTTCCCAATTTTCCCAAATTCCTTCTTAGTGCCCACCTACATTATGATACACAATGGATACCATGAAAGGATACTTGAGTCCAAATTTCAGCTTCCTAGCTTTTACCGTTTGGGTTGTGCGTTGATCACCAATCAATCAGTCAGTCAGGACAAACTGTTTGATATATATACATAGAGATAACGCAACGTCTTAAGATAGACTATGTGCAGAAAAGGGGAATAATTATAAGAAAATATCCTAATTTTAAATTCAAATTTGTGTTTTTCGTGCCTTATTGAGTCAATACGATTACGCACGAACTCGGAATATGAAACACGGCACTCGTGTCAATGCCGTGCAGCGATGAGACACGATCAAAAAGCACTGACAATGCCCATCTCAATTTCCTAGAGTAAAACCACTAACCATACAACAAACGTCCCATCGAAATAGTCAGCGACAGCTCCCACAGCTGTTCGGGTACACAAGTCGATATAGCCATGTCCGTCTGTCCATCCGTCCGTCTGTCTGTCCTTCTGTAAGAACGCAAGGAGCTCAGAAAGTATAAGAGCTAGAACAACCAAATTTGGTGTCTACATTCGGACGAGTTTGTGTTTTTTTTTTTCTGATGCACCCTCCACTTCCCCGCTACATGTTTTTTTTATAACTTCCATAGTTTTTGGAAAAACACAATTTCGTCCTTTCTCGGACTTAGGAAAATATGGATACCAAGTTTGGTTATTCTAGCTCATATACAGACAGACAGCAATGGCTATGTCGACTCGTCTTGACATCTTGATTAATAATATATATATTTTGTGGGATCTGCCACGCCTCCTTCTGCGTGTTACATACATTTGCACAAAACTAATATAATAACAAAATAATTACAAATTGGAGTTTCGTCATTTTCGTCAATTACATTCAAAGCTGACGTATAACACACACAAAAACTGTGAAAATTATAAGATATACATATATTCATATAAGACATTAACATTCTAAGAATGAGCCTCAGCACGGCATTAGTGAAAACCGTTAAAGGTACCTTGAGTTCCAATCCAAAGATGTTTCTAGAACCACCATATATTATAAATTCGCCTCTTAAGAATATTGAACAAGGAAGACAACCGTACCATCATATGATAGAGCAAATATTGCAGAAGGTAGCGGAGTTGGAGAATACACTTTACGAGGATCAGCAGCAAGAACTCAAGCTTCGTGTAGCTTTAGAACAGCATAGAGATCACATAGCCGAGCTCAAGTTTAACCTGGACACAGAGAAACATCGCAACGCGAGGTTGGTGCAGCTCCTAGGTGATCTAAGTATTCCCTCTTCGGATGATAGTGAGATAGAACCGCGTGTGCCCTCAACAACAGATATTTATAGATCAATAAGTCCACTGTTAATGCAGCAACGGTATGTGGCTTAATAGCTACCCACTAATTTCATTTACCAATTCCCTTCTCGAATAGCTATGATGAGCTGGCCGCCTCACATAATCAAAGCCGAAGACAATTAGCCAAAAAGGGCAAGGCTCTTCAGAAGCTAAAGTGCCAGCTAGAGCAGCTGCAAATCAAGTATGATCACCTTTTTTCCGAATACCGCAACGAGCAAAAACGTTTCGAGAAATTGTGCGCTCGATATTTGCACACACAAATTAAGAAGAAGCAGGAAGTTTACAATCTTAAGGATGCTCTAGGGTACGCCAGCGAGTGCATTTTCCATGCGCAGGCTGCATTGGATGGTTGTGGTCGCAGCATTGGCGGTGCCCACCTTAAGAAGTTTTGTCAAAATTTTGATTGTTTTATGGGTGCTTTGCGAAACTGTTGTTGCGTTCGCAAGTTACAAGAACTGCAGAAGCTAGAGCAGAATAATAAAAAAGAAAGGCAACCTGAATACAGGGCTTAGACATTTTTAATGATACAATTTTTCCTTTCAATTTCCATAAATAAATTAAATTAAATAAACACAGTTTTTTAAATCCAAAAAGCGGATCTGTCGATTTCTTTACAATTTGAAGGCTGTTGGTGGCACTAAATCGTCCGCATATTCTTTGCATTAGAGTCGCATGTGCACACATTAATAAAACATAACCGTGCGTCGACTCGCGTCGCTATATCCTTCACTTCTTAGCAGTTTCTCTTTAGCGTCGTGGTAGTAGTAGCTGAATGGATCGATCAGGCGCTCTCTTTTCGGTGCAACTGTGATTGCAGTTATTATTACTCTGTTAACTCACTGTTGACTTTTTATTGGTTGCAGGTACAATAAAGGTAATAAAAGCAGTCGCTATGGAGCCATCGAAGTTAAGTTCCAAGTTCACATAGGTCACTAGGGTCGTAAATAATATTTAAAGATTATTTATTTATTTATTTACAGAGAGATTTTAGGATATTTTATAATTTTATAATTAGGATACTACCCTCTGCAAGCCGTTGCTTAGGCTTTTTAATCTGTCCTTGAGAAAGGAATCTTTCTGCTTTCTGGAAAGAATCGTTTATTATATCACTCCACCAAAAGGGATGTAAGTCAGATATTTCTAACTATAGGGGCATTGCCAAACTGTATGCTATTCCTAAATTATTTGAAAAAATAATTACTTCCTCTTTACAGCATCATTGTTAGTCTGTAATATCCCGTGGTCGGCATGGATGCAAGCTGATGTTATATACTGACTTCAGCAAAGCATTTGATTCTGTGAATCACGACCTCCTTCTCTTGAAGCTAACTTGTATGGGATTTCCCTCAAACTTTTTGAATTGGATTTCTTCGTACTTAAAAAATAGGACATAGAAGGTAGTACTCATTCCGAATATTTCTAAACCTGTTGTCGTAACTACTGGCGTACCTCATGGTAGTCATCTTGGCCCTCTATTATTCACTCTATTTAATAATGATCTTCCATCTATCGTGATGCCTTCCCGTTAATGTTGACCGATGATGTAAAGCTAATTTTTCGAATAATGATCCTCTTTATCAATCTCGTCTGCAGTACGATCTAAACTATTTTCAACTGTGGTGATTGGTCAACCACCTGATCTTAATTGTTCCAAATTAAAGTATGCGATTGACAGTATACATATATCTACAGTTTAAGATCTTGAAGTTCTTTTTGATCCCAAATTGAATTTCAAACTTGACATCTCCATAAGGGTGTTCTTGGATTTACAAGGTGTGTTCCAAAGTAAACATGATTTAAACGAAAAAAAAGCAGAGCAAATGGTTCTTTCGGCAAAATCAATTTATTTTATTCAAAATAGTCTCCTTCTGCTTCAATACAGCTTTTTGAACGATCCAAAAGCATGTCGAACGCGGGTTTTAGTTCGTTGGCCGGTATGGCCGCCAGTATGCCGGTGCAAGCCTTTTGAATGGCCTCTACGTCTGCATAACGCTTTCCTTTCATGGAAAAATCCATTTTTCCGAAAAGGTAGAAGTCGCACGGTGCCATATCAGGTGAATACGGCGAGTGCTTAATGGTTAAAATGTGATTTTTTGTCAAATAATCGGTCACAAGCGTCGATCAAATGTTCGGTCAAAATGCGATAAATCGATGTTTTGGAGATGTTCAATTCCATTTCCATCAATTTCAATGATGATTTCGGCTGATTTTTGATGAATTCACGCACAGTTTCGATGGAATTTTCGGTGATCACGAATTTTGATTGACCCACATGTTGATCGTCATTTATGTCCTCAAGACCACTTTGAAAACGTTGAAACCACTCGTGCACTCTGCTACGGGATAGGCAATATCGCCATAAACTTGTTCCATCCATTGAAACGTTTCGGTAAAAGTTTTACCAATTTTAAAACAAAATTTAATGTTGACTCTTTGTTCGAAGCTCATTTTCGCACCGATAACACAAACATACTGACACTTAAAACGCAAAACCTTCACTTCCAATCGATGAAATGTCATGAACAACTCACTGGACAATCGATAAAGATAACAGATTCTAACGCACCAGTCGTCAGAGATGTTGATTCCTCTATGCTTTTAGGTCGTAGGTCGTAGGCCCAACAAGAAACTTTCTGCCTCTTCCACTTAACAGATGCACTAGTGATTACGCCATGCACAATCCTTTTCTGGTATTATGGTCTATTATAATACTTTTTACTTTTTCATATCTCTCTCTTCCCTCACTAAAATCTAACATTTTCAGCTATCAGGAACCTGCAGAATCACTGATCATTACTGCTGTGACTAGGTAGTAGTAGTAGCCTGCCGGACTGGCTAATAAATTTTCCCCCAACGGGTCAGTGATTCTTCATCTTTAGACTTTAATTATTGTTGGCGCAGATGCTGCTTTAGATTAAGATAGTTTAAGAGAAATATTTGAATTTTAGTTTAGGGCGAAAAGAGAGCGCGAGAGCGGCCATTTGCGGACGTCGCCTCGCGCCCTTTTTTTCGCCGCCTTAGGCTTAGTTTAGCATGTAAGCCGAATTTGAAGTCAGTTGTAAACTAGAACTTAATACAATTACAATACGAATTATTCCGTAATTTTCCGCATTAAAGTAGTTGAAAAGCAAGCGTCCCATTTCTTTGTTTTTAATAATTTATATAAAATCATATAAATTTTCATTGGCGCCCGAGCAGGGACTTGCTTGTTTTAAAAAATAAAAATAATAATAAATGCGGAACCGCGTCGGTCGTGTTGTTGTTGCTGCACTGGGGATTCTGTTGTGTTGTTGCCACGTTATTGGAGGATGAGTCAAGTCGACCAAAGGGAAGTTCCTGAGCCAAAGTCGACTTCACAGGTACTATGCTAAAGTTTGAAAGTGAAATTTAACCAGCGAATTGCTTATTTCGGCCTTCAACTTTCAACCTTTGGCACATACGTGACCATAATATAATACGGTAGATAGTTGAGCATAATTAACACAAATATAAATCGCATGTCGTACTAATATTAAGTAAAAGTGAACCGCTATAGGCAATTATTTAAAGTGCCAATTTATTGTCGTTTGATTTTGTTATACATACATACATACATAAATATACATCTCAGCCAACCGTCGGCAGTTTTCATTTGTTGCTTGCTCTCGTTGTTCTCATCAAATTCGCCGTTGTCTTTGTTACATACATATATACCGACACACTCGCAGACATAACTTATCTAACACATTGCTGTCGTGTTCGCGCTTAAGCTGCTGCATTTTTTGTTTGCCTGCGCTCTGCTAACGCACACAAGGCATTTGTATTAGAATTATTCTTTTCGTTTGTCGCCACTTTCGCTGCTGCTTTCGACGGTCAGTCAACTGCAGTTATTCTCGTTTTCGTTCGCACTGCTAGCCGACCATCTGTTGCGCTCCCCTACACTTGCTGAAACCAGCATATTATTTTCGATTTCTCGTTTGTCACTCGACAATTTTCGTTCCATCAAAGTTTAAAACCTTGAATCAATATGAGTAAGGACTTGATCGAAGAACTTAAAAGGAAGCGCGAGGGCTGTATGAGGAGTATATGTCGTATGCAACGGCAATTAAAAGAAGGCTCGATTTCGTTAGAGCCAATCGAGTTAGAATGCAGGTTAGAGCTTCTAACAACTCATATAGAAACTGCAAATATATTGCAAAGCAAAATTGAAGCAAAAGATACAGAAGATGACTACCGTGAAGAGTTGGAAGAAACTTGCATTATGACCAAATCCTTATTAAAAGGCCAGCTGGAAAAACTAAGAAGAAAAAGCATCGACAATTCAAGTTCGGCAAATGGTATTGCACCGTCTACTTCAAAAAAGCCAAGGTGTCGATTGCCAGCGGTCGCTCTTCCAACTTTTAGCGGCAAGCATTCTGAATTTGAAAATTTCATGAGTCTTTTTGAAACCTTTGTTCACAATGATGACACACTGCATGATAGTGAAAAATTCAATCACTTAATATCATGTTTGGCTGGTGACGCTTTAGGCACAGTTCGCGCCTTCCAAGTGACGGAAGACAATTATACCAAAGCCATTGAAAGTCTAAAGCGGGTGTACGATAATGACTGCTTAATATTTTTCGATAACATATCGACACTTTTCAATCTGCAAAAGATTTCCCAGCCATCTGCGTCAGCTTTGAGAAGCCTGATCGACACAGTGTCGGCCACCTATGACTCACTTCTGTCAATTGGTGACGACAAGAAAATCGCTAATGCCATTTTAATTTATTTAGTTATGGGCAAAGTCGATCCTACCACAAAAAAGAAGTGGGAAGAGCAGCTCGACTACATAAAGCTCCCACTATGGCGATATTGTGAGACTGCTCTTAACAGACGCTACCAGCATATTGTGGCTGAAGAAGCTAGTAAAGCTCAAGCGAAGGGCAGCCAGTCGAGCAATAAAACTCAGACTCAAAAAGTCAAGATGCTTTACTCAACCTACAACGAGTATAGAAGGAGCAGTGAATTTAAGTTGCCAAGAAGAACAATTACTTTCGATATACTCAACGTTACGAAAGTTTTGGTCCATTGAGGACTTGCCTAACAATTCGAAAGTTCTCTCACCTGAGCAACAGTTTTGTGAACAACACTTTGTTACAAAAATCTTGTCGTCTGGTCGATTTCAGGTACGGTTACCTTTTAAATCTGACCCAAAAAGTCTTGGCTCGTCGTATGAAGTTGCGAAACCTCGGTTTTTGTCGCTTGAAATGAGGTTGTCAAAAGACCCTCAAATGAAAAGCATGTATCTGGAATTTATGGACGAGTATGTTTCGCTCGGTCACATGTTCTCAACGGACAACAAAATTCCAGATACTCCACACTATTTTATTTATTTATTTATTTATTTATTGTTAATTACTTCCTAGCGCAACAAGTAGAGTTACTTATATGTTATAGCACTAGTCACATAAAGAGTTTTACATATGTACTAAACTAGTTAGTTTATAATGAGATTATATTAAAATTTGAGACAGAGAATTAAAATAAGTTTAATAAAATTTAT